TTCTATATCCATCCTTAATATATTTATTATGCAAAATGAGCTGTTAAAAAGCCAACAAAATGCTAAATAGAAGGTCTCTGTTTTGATGAAATAAATAACGGAAAACAAATATTGACAATTTTGTTCTCAACTGAATTTTTTTATACTTTTACACAGTTGCACAGTCAGCAACACTGGTTCTGTTGCTCGTCTCGGCCTGCCATTTATATGAATTTATTGCTGAATTGCAATAAATATCCGACCGGTAATTAAATTAATAAGGTTGAATACCGGGCCCTCCTTTCCTAAGTAGCTAGTTGACAATCCAATAAAGTATAATAATAATTACTATAATAGGCTTCCATTTTCCTGAACTCCTATTGTCAATTTCTACGTGATAATTGAATGCCCATTTACAATCGCTATCGCAACGTGAACAATAATCCCGTTGTGCAACCACGTAGTTTGATTTTATCTGCTTTAATTTTTGTTAGTTTGGACCTAGTCTCTGGCAAGAGATTTTGCCGCAGTTATTGCTTTTTATCGTCAACTATCTTTGAAATAAATTGGTCTTGTTTGTATGGTAACAAACAAATACACATTAAATGTTCTCAATTGAATCTTTTTATCGGTTTCAACCTCCCTATTTTGTGAATATTCTGAGAAAGAAAAGGTCAACAGAATGGATGCCTATCGCATATATTCCAAGGGTTTTTAAATTGTCATTGGAATAGCAGAAGGAGCTTGGCTGAAAAACCAGAGGCCGAAAAGCCCAATACCTGCCTTACTACCGATATACGTAAAATTGGGCACTCTTGAAGAAGCGAGGGTTTCTTGTTTATTGACAGTTCAGTTATTTTCTCATGCTTATTCAACTTGAAAAAGATGCTATCACTCCACAGTTTACAAAAATATACGACGATAGGCAGAGAGCCAGATTTGCATTCAAACCAGAGAATTCAAAAGAGATAGAAAATATAGAGGAGCTAAAAAACTAAAACCATCGATTTGTGAGTGGTTGGATATTTGAAACACTTAACAATAAACTTGAATCAAAAAAGTATAATGAAGTAACAAAGACCTTAAGAACGTTTGATCCATAAAATAACTTATCATTATTATGTTTTCTGACAAATTCGTCGATTATCAGAGCCAGTTTTTCTTCTCGCCAGATGCTACCCTCATTTACGTTTTTTTTTTTTTTATGAGAGATTGAGATAACTTATCCTCCATTTCTTACGCCAATAGCTGACAGCTTTTTATCTCTTATGTAAGACATTTCCCAATATGTGACTGTAAAAATATCACTTGATGTTGCCGTTACCAAGTTTCGTTCTTAAAAATATACAGGGTGTCCGACAAAGATACTGACAAACTTTAAGGGGTAGTAGGGGACATCAAAACAAGCATTTTTCTTTATATAAACATATGTCCACAAATGAGTCATTTGGGCTGTAGAGCAAAAAAACTGTTTGATACTTTTATTCTTCGCAATAATTAAACCACTGTTTACTTATTAATTTTGCTTTATTATCAAATAAATTATGGTTTAAAATAATTTTTCAAAATGTTGACCATTTACTTCAATGCAAAGATTACACCGTCGGGTCAATGACTGAAAAGTTTAGTCTATGAAACACCTGTTCGTAATGAGGAAGATCTGATAGCAAGGATACTGGCGAGTTGTACCCATGTAGAAGCTATTCCCGGAATATTCCAAAGAGTTCGCGAGTTGAACAATTATTGTAAACCATAATTTATTTGCTATTAAAGCAAAATTAATAAGTAAAAAGTGATTTAATTATTGCGAAGAATAAAACTAGATACCAAACAGTTTTTTTGCTCTACAGCCCAAATGGCTCATTTGCGGACATATGTTTATATAAACAAAAATGCTTGTTTTGATGTCCCCTACTACCCCTTAAAGTTTGTCGGTATCTTTTTGGGACACCCTGTATATACTTCCTCGTATTATACATTCGGTGACAAGCGGTTTTTTGAAATAAGGTAAGTATTAAGATTTTAGCTGTATTGTCAAACAAGGTATTGTATATCGAATAGGTCGATCGTCTTAGCTATGTAAGATAATGAATCGCCAATATGCGTCTTTGATACGCTCCTTCTGTTGTGCTACAAGGTAATAATCCTGGGAATTTCATAACAAAAATTATCTATTAATCATTATCTATTGAAAGCAGGAAAAAGATATTTCACAGGCGACTTTAATATCGTTCGCATTTCCTGACTTGGCGTATTCAGGTGTCTGAAAAATTCATTTACAGACGCCATGTAGAGTCGAAAATACATTTTTCCTTGACATTATGCTCTAATTCAACAAATCGGAAAAGGAAATCGTAAATCAATTAACACTAAAATAACAAAATTTCCACAACTAGGTACCTTCATTTAATGCCCAGGTCTGTAATATATAACGTTTCAAGTGGAAATGGCCGAGATTATTCAATACCGACCCTATTTAAGCGCCAATTGTTTGTGAAATCGAGTTAAGCATGGAGTATTGACCGCAGTGCAGCTAAATTGAAATCTCAGTTTGGCGCTAGCTAGCAGCATTTTTATTATTGAAAGGAAAAATAATTATTTTTGAGTATTTCATATTATTTGGACACATCAAAAACCACTCTTACAAAATTTTTGGCATTGAAATGAACTTCTTCGCTGAAATGTATAGTAACAGGCTCCCCAACAGCGATAAGAGATCTTTCGGAGGTGAAACATTTTGGAATAACAATCGGGGCCCTTTTCTTTGTGTTAGGTACCAACCCTTTCATTCAAAGAGGGCGGCATTATTTGTTCTTGTTCACGACATGCTATTTGAGAATTTGCCTTTTATTCGTCTTGTACCTAATTCTTCATTGGAGTAATAATTGTAGAGATTTCTAATCAAAATCATTATTCTTAAAAGCTTGTGTAGGGGTAAAAAAGGGTTAGGTAATTATTTTATTGGTTTCATAAATAGTAATAATTCCTAAATCTTGACAAATGCCAATGGTTGCCTAAGCTGTAATTAGCTTTTTCTACAACATGCATAAAAAGTGACATTTTGAGAATTGTTTTGACAACACAAAGTTGACCTTTTTTGATTACCAATCGACAAAAACTTTGTTGCTTGTTGGCAATTGCCATGGGAGACAAGCGACATTCAATTTGTCTCAATTATATTTTTTTTATAATCCAAAATCATTTCAATTTTGTAGAAAAAATATTGTGTGTAATACGAGCGCAAATGGCCCTTGTCGATTTGCGGCAAGTTTCTCTCTCAATCGACGATGGCTTATTTTACGTCGCTAATTTAACACAAATAACTAATGTTTGAAACATATTCATTTTTATTGACCGAAGAAAATATTATGGCTTCAATGAGATCAAATTTAAATAGGAATATATTTTTTTAAATAATATTCTACGAATTTCGGAAGCAAATCGTGAAAAAGAAGGATCCATTTGCCGAAAAAAAAAAAAGTTTTCGATAATAAACCAAAGCTTTGGTTTCTATATTTATGCAGCATTTCTAGATTCTCATCTCGACTAACACTAATCATAATCTCAGCATGGTGAAAATCAAACTGCCTTTCTAACAGGGTCATGCAAGATTGCTTTGGGTTTCAATTATATCAATAGGTACCTACTATTCAAGTTAGGCATTTCGTTCAAGTGCATAAAGTTTTTGTTATTTTTATGTTGGAAAATAATAAAAAATATGATTGCGATCTTTAAATCGGTTAGGTGTGGTTCAAAATCTTACCTTCTTCCTTAGTGGACTTTCCATCCAGATTACTCAACTTTTTTGGCTGGCCGGTAACGTTAATTTCCATTTTTTGCAGTAGAAATTATCTTTTACTTTTAGAGAAGCAGGTGCGGATTGCGGTTGACACGGCAAAGTACCGATGTGTCCCTTGACTCCCTTTTCTCGAGTACGGAACTGCGCGCATGCACCTTTTGTGGGCTAGCAAACAGGTATTTCCGCGGTAAATACTTATTTTTAAATTTAAATATTAATATTAAGAACATAGAAATCTTCGGATTTGCTCCATTGATATTGAATAAAGAAAGTTTAATTTGATTTTTAAAAGTTTTATTTCTGAAACATATTTTGGCATATACACCGGCCCAGCATGTTTAGTGTGACAATATGATTTTTCCGAAGATTGAGCACTCTGTATTCTACATATTCAACTGTTATTGATTAACGCAATTCAAAGTAGAATATGATGCCATCGGTTAATACGTCAACCGATGCACGATCATTGACATAATAAATTGGTGCCGGGTATCCTTTTGGACACTACACCATACTGAAGCGGTGCAAAAACACCTAAACGCGTCTGTCGTTGGATCGGCGAAAAAACTGCGTACCAGTTTGTCATTACTTGACTCTCAAATTCATGGTAACGGACATCGTTATCATAGACATGAGTCACATACGGCTCTACATTGTATATTTTATTTAATCAGCATATTATTTTTCATTAGCTTGCATTCTGTATTCTCTTTTTGTAGCTTCTACTTGCCGAGCGTCCTCAGTCAGAGCTTTGCATTCACTTTCGACGCTTCGAATTTTAATAAATTTTAAACGTAAAAATATTGTAATAGTTTTAAGTGAAATAAATTCGTTTTTAAAAAATCGTACATCGCGTACTGATTTGTAACTGGCGCAGTCGGTAGGATAGTCAGGAATACATCGAGTATCGATTTATCGTGAAACGGTCAACTGGCTATCCGAAAGAACTTACGGTTCGGGATTTTGATTGAACATCAGAAACTTTCGGCCGTGACTACGAAAAGTGTTCGTGTGCGTAAAGCAATTAATTGGGGATTGTTTCGCGACGGCATTTTGAGAATTGATAACAAACTCTATCAATTCTGCGAGGACTTAGTGCTTTTGGACTTGGATTACAAAATTGCCACCAGAGGACTGAGGCCTTATAGTACCACCTAGACATAAGAAGAAAACTCTATGGCACGAAAATTGATAGCATATTTTATATAAGTGCAATTTGTAAATGTCTGATTTGGACGATTTAATTAACTCTTTTGAAAGTATTGAGATAAACGATAATAGCTCTGACTCCGCTTCAAATACAGAAGTGTTAACTGATCAATCTAATAATCAATTAGAAACTGAAGGTAATATTGATCAATTAGAAAGTGGAAATAATATTTTATCTATTGATAGCTCAAACTTAGATTTAACTGCTTTTGCACAAACTATAACGCTTTTGCGAAGTCAACAAAATTTAAACTTTTCTCCTTTAAATATTGCTACAGTAAATTTACCAGTCACTATGGCTCAATTTAAACCCGAATATTTAAGTTGTGTCCCAAAATTCGAGGGAAACCCTTGCGAGCTAAACAGATATTTAGCGACTTGCAAATCTCTCATAGATAATTTTTATGATACTGTAAATGTAAATTGTTTCCAAAATATATTTTTAATAAACTCTCTTATAGGTAAACTTTCTGGCAATGCTAGATTAGTGGTTAATGTTCAGGATGTCTCCACCTGGGACGGTCTAAAAAATACATTGACTAGACATTTCGCGGACAGACGCGACGAGTCTTGTTTGAATAGAGACCTTGTTTTAACCAAACAAAATGCTAATGAGACCCCTCAATCTTACTATGATAGAATTCTCGAATTACTTAATTTACTCTGCAGTTACGTAGATTCTCACGACGATGTGGCTACTGCCCAAATAAAACGAAATTTGTATACAGAACTTGCTTTAAAAACATTCTTGGCCGGTTTAAGAGAACCTTTAGGCAACACAATTCGTTGTATGTCACCAAAAGATTTAGCTGATGCCATACAACTTGTTATTCGAGAGAGTAACACAAAATATTTCCAAAATCAACCCAATCACAATAATAGCAATGCAAATCATACAAAACCAAAACCTCAACAACATCAACTTCGATTTAATGGTCCAACCAGAAATTTTGGTTATAATAACTATACACCAAATCAATTTAAGCAGCCCTTTCCGTCACAACCTATCAATATTAGACCTAATGCAAACATCCGCCCACAAAAATTCTTTTCTAACTCCCAAGTTTTTGGTAAACCAAAACCAACAAACGTATTCAGACAAAATCCTGGAAAAATCTTGCCAAAGCCCACACCAATGTCAGGTGTAAGTTTCCAAAACACCCAAAATTTCACACCAGTGGCTCAAGCATCAAATTTCCAGCAACCACAGCAACAGTACCAGCAACAGCCCAAATATGCATTTGAAGAATTATTTACTACAGAACTAGATCCAACTTCTGAAGAATATCAATACAGTTATTCAAACGTCATCAATCAAACGTACCCCGAAAATAATGCATATTATGATGAACAGCAGATCTATAACCCCGAAAATTCTTATTATTATTATGCTGACCCAGCACAGATAAATTATACAAATGAAACTCAAGAAGAACCGACCACATCAAATCATGCTGTGGAATCAAATTTTCAGGAATCAGCCGAAGACAATCAGAATATTTGACGGAATCGCCCCCAGTGATTTCCTCAAATTTAAACAACACCAGTGAACTCTCATACATAGTGTTTCCTGAATACAACGTCAAAATTTTAATTGATTCAGGTTCCACGAAATCTTTTATTGGCCCAAATATAGCATTTAAATTATTTCCGAATTTCGTTATTAACGATCCTTTCATCGTTAGTACGGTATTCCAGAAATCAGCTCATAAATATAGTGCTAACATACCAGCACCTAAAATATTTAATTTACCCAAAAAAGGAAAAGTCAAATTTTACCTATTCAAATTCCATAACATTTTTGATGGTTTGATAGGCCTTGACAATTTAAAATTATTACAAGCAAATGTTGATTTTAATAGTGGTTACCTTATTACGCCCTATGCAAAGATCAAATTGAAATATCAACAAACACAAAACGAACTTAATTGCATTACTGTTGAAGCGAGAACAGATAAAGTAATTAAAATCAAAACATCTATAAAAAATGGCGAAATTATTGTTCCCTATATGAAATTACACAATATTGAAATACCCGAATCACTAACAATCGCAAAAGATGGCTATGCAATAACAACAATCTTAAATAACTCTTGCGAGCCAATTACTTTAGATTTTTCAGAACAAATAGAAGTCGACCCTTTTGAAAGAAATAATATCGAGATGATAGATTTAAATAATTTTGACGAATCACCCAAACAAAGACTAGATTTATCAAAAATTCGCGTTGATCATCTTAATGATGAAGAAAAATACAAAACTTTGGAACTGTGTGAAGAATTTTCAGATATTTTCTACCAAGAAAATACACCTCTATCTTTCACTAGTAACTTGAAACATCATATACAAACGACAGATGAGACTCCAATTTATACTAAAACTTACAGATACCCGTTCATCCATCGCCAAGAAGGAAGAAATCAAATAGAAAAAATGTTAGATCAAAAAATTATAAGACCTTCAAATTCTCCCTGGTCCTCACCAATTTGGGTGGTACCAAAAAAATTAGATGCTACAGGAAAGCAAAAATGGCGTGTAGTCGTGGACTACAGAAAACTGAACGAAAAGACAATCGATAACAAATACCCGCTACCAAATATCACGGATCTGTTAGACAAATTAGGTAGATGCCAGTATTTTACAACATTAGACCTTGCATCAGGCTTTCACCAGATTGAAATGAATCAAGCCGACATACAAAAAACGGCCTTCAACACTGAAAATGGGCACTACTTAGGATGCCCTTCGGTCTGAAGAATGCGCCTGCTACCTTTCAAAGCATAATGGATTCAATTTTAAGGGGTATTCAAAATGAAAAATGTTTGGTATACCTAGATGATATCATTATTTTCTCGACATCCTTACAGGAACATCTAAATAACTTGAGAAATGTTTTCCAACGGCTACGTGACTCTAATTTCAAGATCCAGCTTGATAAAAGCGAATTTTTGCGTCGCGAAGTCGCATACCTGGGTCATATTGTGACGCCAGAGGGAGTCAAACCAAACCCCGATAAAATTAAAGCAATTAAGCAGTATCCGATACCGAAGACTACAAAGCAAATTAAAGGATTCCTAGGACTGTTAGGCTACTACCGGAGATTTATTAACAATTTTGCAAAAGTTACGAAACCTCTCACCAAATGTTTGAAGAAAGGCGCTAAAATCAATCATGACGAAGAATTTATTAACTGTTTCAAAATGTGCAAAAATTTACTAACAAATGAACCCATACTCCAGTATCCTGACTTTTCAAAACCTTTTAATTTGACAACAGACGCGAGTAACTTGGCCTTAGGAGCAGTACTTTCCCAAGGGCCAATTGGACAAGATTTACCGATCGCCTATGCCTCACGCACGCTCAACGACTCTGAATGCAACTATTCTACGATAGAAAAGGAATGTTTGTGTCTTGTTTGGGCAACCAAATATTTCCGCCCTTATCTCTATGGCAGAAAATTTAACATCATTACAGACCACAAACCGCTTCAATGGCTTTTTTCAGTTAAAGAACCAACTTCAAAGTTACTTCGCTGGAGAATAAGACTAGAAGAATTTAACTATCAAATTATTTACAAGAAAGGAAAATTGAACACAAATGCGGACGCCCTATCGAGAATAGAAATTCATACTAAAGAAACAACAGAAAATATTTTTGACCTGCAAAAATATGTAGAAGACGTAACTAAAAATTTATAGGACAACAACCACCAAAATAATGACGAAATTCCTAGCACAAGTCACGAAAATATGGATCAAATATCAGTTGTAGCACAACCGGACAATGACCCACCAGAAATCGCGCAAGATGCCGATGATGCAACTATCCATACAAACTCCGACCAAAACCCTGTAGTAGGAGTACCTATTATTGAAACAGCTGTCAATTATGGTTCTAATCAAATAATATTGCAGCAGGTACACCACTCACCAGCAAGAGCGAAAATAATTGTACTATTTAACAAGAAACGTAGAATAATAGTACAACTATCGCAGGAAAATTTCGAGGAAGACATCATGAAATTTATCAAAGAATTAATAGTGCCAAATAAACCATACCACCTGTACTTTGAAAATCCAGAGGCTTATGAACCATTTTGCCGAGGCATCAAGAACAATTTTAAATGGCCCTCTTTACAATTTAAAAGATGTACTTCAAAACTACTCGACGTTACCAACAAAAATGATATTAAAGAAATCATACAAAATTACCACGAAAGCAAGTCAAACCACCGCGGCATAGAAGAAACAGTTCAAAGATTAAAAACAAAATATTACTGGGCCGATCTTAAAAGTTCCGTCCAATCTTACATTAACGAATGCGAAATTTGTATTCGTAGTAAATATGAACGTAACCCAGTAAAGATTCCAATGAACGTTACACCCACGGCATCAAGGCCCTTTGAAATTATTCACCTTGATACCTACACCCTAGGAAAAAGTAAATTCCTCACCATCGTCGACAGTTTTTCCAAATATGCGCAAGCATATTCACTTAAATCACTAGCTGCTACTGAAATTGCAGACAGTCTTCTAAGTCATTTTTCTCATCATGAAATTCCAAAACAAATAATTGTAGACAACGGTACAGAGTTTAAAAATACCATAGTGACAGAATTACTGTCCCTACACAAAATAAAAGTTCACTTTTGTTCGTCTTATCACCCGGAATCGAATGGTATCGCCGAGCGTTTCCATTCAACCCTTTCAGAGCACATCAGATTGCTTAACAATCAAAATTTCGCTAACGCAACCATACAAAATAAAATTGTATATGCCGTTCTGGCTTATAATCATACAATTCACTCTACAACCAACCTTAAACCCATTGATGTTGTGCAAGGACATATTACATCAGATGATACTTTTAATTTAAAATTAGATCAATTAATTTTATCAGATTATATAAATGATCAAATCAAGAAAAATCAAAAAACTTGACCGATAACGTAAATACGCACGCAGAATATAAGATCGAAACTAGTAATTATATAAAAATACTATTCTTAATTCAAGACCGTGTTGAAACAAAATTAAAAGAATTAATTCCACACCCACAACGCAAAAGACGCGGGCTTATTAATGCAGTCGGATCAATTTTCAAACCAATTACTGGTAACCTAGACGCATCAGATGGA